GGGGGAGGCAGGCGCCTGGGCCCCCAGGTAGACGGTGGCGTCCGAGGGGCCGAGGAGTTTCAGAGTTTCGGACCCAACTCTGGACTTGGCCTCGGTGGGAGGGTGGTGGGGTCTCATTTCCTGAGATACCGAACCAGATGGCTGGCTGGGGAGGAGGAGGGGAGTGGGGAGGGAGGAGGAGGGGAGTGGGGAGGGATGGGGGAGGGGGAGGAGGACCCCTTCCTTCGGCCCCCATCCTGAGCATGGTCCCGCATCTCATCTGCTTGGTTCCAAACCCAGTCAGTTCCCAGAGTCTGGGCCCAAGTACCTGAGAACCGTGTGTGGGGTGTGGGGTGAGGGGTAAGTGGGGGGACCCAGAGCACAAGTCTCTTCCTCACTGGGGGAGGGTGAAGTGTGGATTTCATACCACTTTCCCAAAGCCTGGACTTTTAGAAAATACTTCTCAGCCCATTAAAATGTAAGCTCATCCTTAGCTCTGGGCTGTATAAGGAGGGGTCTGCCTTTGGCCAGGGCAGTTCGTCAGCCCTTTTGTAGACGAGGCTGCTGGTTTTACTTTAATCCATTAGGTGCGAGCACTTAGGTGTCAGTAAGAACAGAGAGTGAGTAATACGGCTCATAAGTAATGCGTTATTTAATGGTCGGCTCCTAGCGTTCCCACCGACCACACCCGTGGCCTGGTCCTCTTGGCATCAGGCTGATGGTGTGTAAGGGGCCAGAGGCTCTGGCTGGAGCCCTGGCCAGGCCTCTAGGTGGGCACCCGGTCAGGCCTCCCGTGAAGTGCGGCTGGCTTTCCCACGGGGCTGAGTCGTAGGGAGCCCTGAGGAAAGTGCTGCAAACTTGGACCCTCATCCGCATCGGTCTACAGTGTAGACCTACACTCTGCTCTTCTCCATTATTCTCCCCAAGGTCAGACCATCACCCCTGGCGGCCACCACACCACACTTTCTCCCGACATTTGGGGGGATGCTCAGAAGGGTTTATGGCTGTGAGCATTGGCTCAGCCCCTGCCCGTGTCCCAGCTGTGCTGTGGGCCGGCCCCCAGAGAGCTGGCCTTGCTCCCTGACACTTTGTTCACCCGCGTGGGATGCCTCCAGGCAGCACCAGCAGCTATGGTCACCCGATGCCTTCCTGGCCCTTCACCCCCATGGCTTCCCGTCAGCAGCCCTTCTGGGGTCCATTTCTCATCCTAGTCCAAGGCCCCTCCTCTCACCTGGACAACCTCAGAAACCATCCAAGCGATGGGCCTGTTTCCATCATTAAACGCCAGGTTCTACATTCTGTGCAGAGCCAGTGTGACCTCCTGCAAACATCTTTTACCAGGCTTGCACCCCCTGAGGGCCCTCCATGTATCCCAGCGCCACCCCGCCAGCCCTGGGCCTCTCCCCTCCCTCAGAAGTTTCCAGCCCCCAGCTTCCTCTTGGGTTTGATATTCATTCAAGCTCTTTCCAGCTCAGGGCCTTTGCATGGGCTGTGTGGCCTCCCGCTTCAGCCCCTCAGACAGGCCCTCGCCTTCTCTGAAGCAGCCACGTCTCCTCCCCCACCATCCATCATGTCCTCCTCTTTGTCTCCTGTGTTTGTCACAGTCTGATGGCCTTGCATGTGATTTCGCAGAGGCCATGGGGGGAGGGGAAGGGACGGAAAGAGCGGGGCAGACTTTCCGGGCCAGCGCAGACATGGTGGGACTTTGCTCACCTCTGTCCTCAGCTGGGTACTGAGTTAGAAGATAAACTTGAAGATGTAAATATAACCCATTTCATTGCACCACTCACTCTCACTAATGTGCGCTTTTTGTTGACAAAGCGAGAAGCCAGTTCCCTCTTCATCCTTTTGCCTTTGGGAGGAGAGCAGACTGCTCACCAGTGGGGTGCAGAGGGGGAGGCTGAGTGAGGGCCTGTGTGTGTGTGGGGGGGGGGGAGCTCTGCAGAGTAGGAGGGGGCTGGGTGGGTGCAGGGCCCTAAGGAGTGGGTGGGGTGCCCCGACTGCAGCTGCCTCTGCCCTATTCTTTCGGATGGTAGATGCTGCTGGCTTTTCTGTTGGGTTTTACGTGTACAGATTGTGCGCCAATGTTTCAGTTGTAAATCCAGAGTGAGAGGTTGTACTAACAATGTTGGGTAACTCGGTTTGGAGAAAACTTATCCATTTTGTTTGTTTGTTTGTTTGCAACAGAGTGATCGCCTTCTGATCAAAGGTGGGAAGGTTGTGAACGATGACCAGTCCTTTTACGCTGACTTGTACGTGGAAGACGGTTTGGTAAAGTGAGTTTCTGTTAAGAATCCCTTCGCGGGCCACAGAGTGCACTGGCTGCACGTGACCCAGGACGCTCAGTCTTGTGAAATCCACGCCAGTGCTTTTTCTTTTCCGAAACCTCGTTCCCTGCAAGCAGCTCTCGCCCAGGCCTTGAGTGACTGATCTCACCGTAAGGTCCAGTCATAAGGTCTCAGGAAACAGGACTATGGCGTCCACATTACTTGCACCATCACAGCCTTGGGACGATTCGGGGCTCACAGTGGGTGCTTAATAAATACGTACTGACCACACCCATTAGCTTCTCTGCTTCTGAGCGAAGGGCAAGTGGACGCCTCAGTGGATACCACCAGGGCCGTGACGTGCACACGGGGCTAGATCCTCCACTCGGGCCAGCTGTGTTGAGCCACGTCACTGCTCTGACAGCTCCGGAGTCCCGTGGAGCCCTGGCCGTGTGGCCCTCTCCCTCAGGACAGGAGCCCAAGCTCACGCGTCCCAGCTCCACCGCGTTGCCAGGGAGCCCACGCATGTTCTGACCTGGGCTCTTTCTAACCAGCGACATCTCCCTTTGCTGCTTTCAGACAAATTGGAGAAAACCTCATCGTCCCTGGGGGCATCCGAACCATCGATGCCCACGGCCTGCTGGTCCTCCCAGGAGGTGTCGACGTGCACACGAGGCTGCAGATGCCTGCCCTGGGCATGACCCCGGCTGACGACTTCTGCCAGGGCACCAAGGCAGCCCTGGCGGGAGGGACCACCATGATATGTGAGTGTCCCCAGGTCGGGCAGCGTCCGGCCCCCACCTCGGGGCTCTGGCCGGGTGTGTGTGTGTTGCAGGAAGCGGTTTGCGTGCTGGGTTTTTTCTCAGTCCCGTTTTTCCTCTATCATATCCCAATCTGCAAAGCCCTGGAGCGCCTTCCCTCGTCACTTCTGTTTCTCATGCTGGCCATCCTGCCTGGCCAGCTCTGGGGTGCTCCTGGGAGTCTGTGGGAGCGCATGGATGAGTGCCCAGTTATTCATTATTTCCTGGGAAGCCAGCGGCTGGCCGAGGACCAGGTTTGGAAAACTCCGATGCTTTGGGCAAGCGAGGGGTTGTGTCACCTGAAATGCCAGATGGGTTTGTGTGTCAACTTCACCCCCGCTGAGGCCTGGGTTGCAGCAAGCTCCTGCCTGTGTCAAGAAGAATGAAAAACAGGTGCTGTGTCTTTAGGAAAAGGACGACAAAAACTTACTGTTACTCACTCAGCACCACCAGAAGTACCGTTTCTCTAAGCTGGCTCTGTGCCAGGTGCGAGCACCATCCTGGTGGGCTGCAGCTCACGTGCTGTCCTCGCATAACCCTCTGAGCTCGGAGGAGAAGCCCCAGGTGCCAGCTTGTGTGGTGTTCCCACTCTCGGCAAGCTCAGGAGCCAGGACGAGATAGCAGGCCAAACCCCTCTCTCGCAGCCTTGAATGCCGAGTGCAGCCGTGCCTGCCGTGCTGGGTCTCATGAACCAGGTTGGACACTGGCTCCACCATGTTTAGCTGTGTGGCCTCCGATAACAGCCGGCTGATACAGGCCACACTTGCCCAATCGGTCAGGCAGCAGGAGGAGGAAGCGAGCTCGCGCACATAGGTGATTTGTGGCGCCTGGTGCACAGGAAACGCTCTGTGACTGCCGCCAGGAACCGTGGGCTACTCCACCAGTGACAATTAGCTGCTGTCAGAATCATGGCTTGGTTTGGTTTACTCAACCAAGAAGTGAAAAGCCCCGTGACAGTCCATCCATCTTTTAGATGGACTCAGGAGACTGGTCATTTCAGGCCTTTGCTCATGCCGGTCACTGGTGGCCCCGGCCGGCCAGGACACCTCTGTGGTTGACATCACCTGCCCATGCCAATGCCAAGGCTGTGAGGTGTGGCTGAGAGGATGGAGAGATGCTGCAGGCTCGGGCTGGCTCTGTCGAGCCATCTGCTTCCTCCACCTGCCAGCACCGGCCTAGAGCTGGGCACAGCCCTCAGGGTGGGACAGGCACCTGCTCCCGCAGGGTCCTGGCTTCCCCCTCTGAGCTATGGAGCACAGGAGCCCCGTAAGGGCTGTGCTGGAGGGAAGCACAGCACCTGCCAGGACCCTGGGGTGGTGCCTTCCTGTTGGCCACCGCACTCCCAGCTCTTCCCTCACCCAGGGGAGGCTGTGGGCAGGGTTTGGACCTTGGGTGTGAGGTTGGCAGGTGAGGGGCTGACAGTGCAGTGTGTGCACTCCCAGCCTCCCCGGGGGATGGGTGGGCTGGGTGGCACTGATGAAGGTGTGTGCAGTCTGGAAGGCTCATGGGAAGCCAGCCCTACGCCGCTGTTCTGGGCAGGCGTCCAGGTCCAGCACCGAGGACAGCGGCGCCTTCCCTTCCCCACCTCAAGGTGCTCCTGTGCTGAAGGGTAAGGCCCTTAGCTGCCACCCATGCTCTTGAGCTGTGATGTGTGCGTCGGGGGGCGAGGTGGGTTGTCTCAGCTCAGAGAGAGGCTGAGGAGATGGGGCCGATGCCTCAGGAGATGGGGCCGATGCCTCTCTGGACAAGAACTGATGAGCAGGTTTACAGCAGGGACAGCCCCTGTTAAGGTGGCTGTGGCATCTCCTGTGTTGTTCCTGATCTCTTGTTAACATGACCTCCTTGGAGGTCGAGGTCATTCCAGTTCCCGTGCTGGGGGCTCGGCTGACTGCACTGCCCCCACAGTGGACCACGTGTTCCCTGACGTGGGTGTGAGCCTGCTGGCGGCCTACGAGCAGTGGCGGGAGCGGGCGGACGCCGGGGCCTGCTGCGACTACTCCCTGCACGTGGACATCCCCCGCTGGCACGAGAGCATCAGGGAGGAGCTGGAGGCCCTGGTCAAGGACAAGGGTGAGTGCCCACAGGGCTGAGGGGGACTGGCGGGCAGGAGGGCAGACAGGTGCCTGGGCTTCCCTGGTCTCGGTGGGAAGCCCCCCTCCCCGGGCCGCCCCTCCGTGCTGGGCTCTACATCCGTCTGGCCCCAGGGCAGGTGGCCAGGAGTTGGGGGAAGTTGGACAAGAGTCACTCGAGGGTTTGTTCTACTTCCAGAGGATCCAGGCTCAAGTCCTCTGCCTCCCGGGTCTGAGGGACATATCTTGTAACTGTCCTCGTTACAGTGGTCACAGCTGGTACCGCAGCTCCCTTGTCTCGTGCTCGTGGGTGGAGGAAACGTGATATTCGTTTTCCTGGCAAATACAGACCCGGTTAGAAGGAGGTGTTAACACCCTCAGTGCTCTATGCTGCCCGTGCTGATGACGGACCAGACCATCACCAAGGATTAAGTTTTTTGTTTTTGTTTTTTTTAATTACATTTTTTAGTTATTTATGTATATAATTTATTTATATATAATTTATTTATATATATATAAATATATATATATATATATATATATTTATATATATATAATTTTTTTTTAGAGAGAGAGGAAGGAAAAGGGAGAGAGAGATACGTATCGATATGAAAGCAGAACATCGATCAGCTGCCTCCTGCAGATGCCCCAACCAGGGATGAACCCTCAACCTGGGGGTGTTCCCTGACAGGGAATCAAACCTTCCACCTTTTGGTGCGAAGGGTGATGCCCAACCAACTGAGCCATACCAGCCAGGGCGAGGGCTAAGCTTTTTGATTGAAAGTCCTGAAGCTAAAACCATATCAAGGTTCATAATGGATTTGACAAAAGTTAGACTGAGTTAGAGAGGGGTGACGGGGCCCAGAGGCGTGTTTGTAAGGGATTCATCTGCGTTCGCTACTGGGGAGCCATTGGTCCCTGATCCCAGGGCCTGAGGGGCAGGTGAGGGGGGCTGGCAGACGCCCTCCTTCGTCACCTCTTGTCGGTAAGTGTGTGGGGGCCTGGTGCCCAAGGGCTGCCATGCCAGCTGGGGAGACGGCCTTGGAGAGGGACCATCCCACCTGGCGCCTCTGGAGATGGGGGAGGCGGGGAGTCTCCCAGGCATCACCCCGACAGCTGAGCGTCTCACCCCTTCCTGCCTCTCCTCCAGGTGTGAACTCCTTCCTGGTCTTCATGGCGTACAAGGACAGATGCCAGTGCACCGACGGCCAGGTAGGGGCCGGTGCCCAGAGGAGGGGCCAGCGGGTATCTCTCGGGCTGCTGCCGGGAGAGACGCCCCCTTACGGCTCGTGCACCTCTCCTCACAGATGTACGAGATCTTCAGCATCATCCGGGACCTGGGAGCCCTGGCCCAAGTGCACGCAGAGAACGGAGACATCGTGGAGGAGGTGCGGGCTGGGCTGCCTGGGCGCGGCGAGGGGTGAGGGCGAGGGTGACTCCTGGACACCAGGATGTGAGCACTTAATCCCACCAACCCCGAGGGAGGGAATACTGAACATGTTCAGGAGGTAGTTTGCCCAGGTCAAAGGTCAAGCAAGCAGGGAGTTAGGGGAACTTTTTGCTGCCATCGATTTTTCCATGGTCATTACACTTATCAAAAGTTCTTCCAAACCAAAATGTTGCTTTGTTGGGGGTACTGAGACCGGGGGTTCGGGCCTCCTGGCCCCAGGGATGGAGGCCCCTCAGGGAGCTGGCTTTGTTTTCCTTCTGACCAGTGGGCGCACGTGTGGGGTCAGTGCCTGTCCTTCAGTCACACCCCAGGTGGGGTCCTGCCCATCGGCCCGGCTGTGAGGTGGGCGCCCACGACCTCTGCGCCCTGCACTTGATGTTTTTCTCCTCACGCCTTTGGTGGCCCTTCAGGTGCAGGTGCATCGGGGCACCTGGGAGGTTCAGGGGGCTCCTCTGGGGCCTGGGGGGTGGTCCGCCCACCCCGCCTGTACAGAGCCCCCAGTGCACACCCAGCTTGGCAGGCAAGCCTGTGGGGTCGTCTCGGCCCCGACGCCAGGAGCCCTGTGACCTTGGGCAAGTCCCTTGTCCTCTCCAAGCCCCGTTCCCCCATCTGTAGTTCAGGGAGCGGCAGCCACTCCTCGCCTGCTCTGCATTCTCTGTGGTTGGTGATGCCGGGGGCCCCGGCTCAGCCTCAGCCAGTGGTTGCCCCTGGGCGGTGGCCCGCACGCCCTGGCTGCGGCTCCGGGCTCTGGCGCACCTGGGCGGGAACGTGGCACCTGGTTTGATTTCTGTAGGAGCAGAAGCGGCTGCTGGAGCTCGGCATCACCGGCCCCGAGGCCCCACGTGCTCAGCCACCCCGACGAAGTAGGCGCTGTGCCCCGCCGGGGGGCACCTTGGAATTGAATTGCGCCCCAGATGCCACTTTCCTTCTGGGGGGGGGGTCTGGGGTCCATGGTCTGGGCAGGGCCGCGGCCACGATGTCCTCACCTGTCCCCCCACCAGGCACATGTCCCCTATGACTGCTGGTCACCCCAAGCCTGGTACTCAAGGCTGAACGGTGGCATGGTCAGGGCCTGGGAACTATGTGGGTCACCCCATCCTGGGCACCGAGCCCCAAGCTGGAGTCCTCACCCACCCAGGGGTGCCCTCTCTGGGCCCAGGATCTGTGTGTGACCATCATGCCCTGTGACCTTGAGCGAGTCCTTCCCAGGGGCTCCAGGATGGCCCTGGGGGTCAGCATGGTCAGGGTTCCCCAGGCCCTCGCGTGGCCTGAGCATCCCTGTCCCCAGGTGGAGGCCGAGGCCGTGTACCGTGCCGTCACCATCGCCAAGCAGGCCAACTGCCCCCTGTACGTCACCAAGGTGATGAGCAAGGCTGCGGCTGACGTGGTGGCCCGAGCCAAGCGCAGGGGTGAGTCCTGGGCCTGGACACCCATGCTGGTGAGGGTCTGGGGGGTCAGGGGTCATCTTCTCCACCTCCCGGGAACTTGGCTGGCTTCACAGAGGCTCAGAGTAGGGCAGGTATGACTGAGAAGCAGCTTGCCCTCCAGCCTGGCCTCCTCACCGAGGGGCCTCATGCCAGGGACTCCAGGGGTGGGCCGTGTGGCCTGTGGGGGAGCGTGGCCTGCGGGGGAGCAGCAGCTGCTCACCGGGGGCCTTAAAGCAAACAGAGGGGCCTGTGGAGCTACAGGGTCTGTGTGTGACGGTGGACATGCCCTGTGACCTTGGGCTAGTCCCTTCCCGGGGGCTCCAGGATGGCCCTGGGGTCATCATGGTCAGGATTCCCCAGGGAAATGTGCGGTGAGGGTGAGAGGGAGCCTGATTTTAGTGCAATGGAACCTTGTCCAGCTGACCCCACCTGGCGCCCCACATTACTGTTCGCTGGGCACCTCCGTGCACCCAGGAGCTGGGGTGCACATCCCGAAAGCTGGGGTGCTCTCTGCCCGCAGAGCACCCACACAGCTGGAGGCAGGGGGTAAATAAGAAAAGCGTGTATGCGTCCGTGCAGACCAGCAGGGGGCGAGCAGCGAGCTGACGGGGTCTCACTCAGCCTGTGGCCCAGTGGAGTGCCTGGCAGGCCTGACCCCCTGCCTGCCTGGTGCCCCAGAGGAGAGGGACAAGCTGTGCAGGGTCAGGAAATTGAGGGGCAGTGCAGTGCCCAGGCCTCCACCCTGCTTGGGTCCTGGGGGCATGCAGGCGTGGGGTGCCTCTCACGGGCCTCACTGCAGGGGTGGTCGTGTTTGGGGAGCCCCTCACCGCCAGCCTGGGCACTGACGGCTCGCATTACTGGAGCAAGAACTGGGCAAAGGCCGCGGCCTTCGTCACTTCCCCCCCCATCAACCCGGACCCCACCACCGCAGACCACCTCACCTCCCTGCTGGCCAGGTAAGGAGACGCTCAGGGTGGCCCCAGGTGGGCCTGTGTGCACGACCTCCGCCTGCTGGCAGCTCCAGGCTTCTCCCACACAAACCCTGGGCCACAGCAGAGCACCCACCCAGATCTGCCCCGGCCCCACCCCCACACCGAGGCGCAGCTCTGCCCAGCGCTGCCCTCACAGACCACCTCTGGCCCTGTGGGTGCGCTGGGCCACGTGGGGGTGAAGCCGAGCGGCCTTGGCTGGCTCAGGAGGGCCAGGCCCCTCTGGGCTCCCTGACTCGCTTGTTCTCAGCGGGGACCTCCAGGTGACGGGCAGTGCCCACTGCACCTTCACCACTGCCCAGAAGGCCGTCGGCAAAGACAACTTCACTCTCATCCCCGAGGGCACCAACGGTGTGGAGGAGCGCATGTCGGTGGTCTGGGAGAAGTGCGTGGTGAGTCCCGGGGCCTGGGCGCCGTGCACCGACCGGATCTGCTGGCTCAGCAGAGTGGGAAGCACTTAACCGGGAAACACCGCGAGGAATGAGTCCAGTGTGTGGGCCCCAGCGTGTCCTTGCTCCCGCCCTCACCCAGGGCTCCTCAGACATCGGTTCTGGTTCCCCGAGGGCCCTCCCCTCCGATTCTCATGTCACATCTGTGCAGGCAGCTGAGAGCGAGTGGGACCCCTTTCCGATGGTGTTATCCTCTGCGGTGCTAGTGGTCTCCCCCTCATGCCTGCGATCCAGACTCCCGCCTCACTCGGAAAGCTCTGCTTGGCATCTTCGGTCCCCTTCGCCCCCCAACCCCGGTCCTTCCCTGGACTGAGGCCCAGACCCCGGCTCCCCTCACCGCCCTGCTTCCCCAGGCCTCCTGGCCACACGGGAAAACAGTCGTGTCCCTCAGGGCACACAGACATGGAGCCTTCTCCACTTACTCACCACTAAGTGAGCCCAGGGACCAGGCTTTGGGCACAGGAAGAGGGGAGCACTGGCTGGCTGAGATGGACCGATTCATGCGCCCTGGGAGTGTGAGCGGGTGCTGTTGCTGCCCTGGGGGGCGGAGCCTCAGTCCCCATGAAGCCCCAAGCCTCTCAGCTCCCCTTCTTGCTTCCCAGGCCTCAGGGAAAATGGACGAGAACGAGTTTGTTGCTGTGACCAGTACAAATGCAGCCAAAATCTTCAATTTTTACCCAAGGAAGGGGCGAGTGGCTGTGGGCTCCGACGCTGACCTGGTGATCTGGAACCCCAAGGCCACGAAAATCATCTCTGCCAAGAGCCACAATCTGGTGAGCGAAGCCGGGTCCCCAAGTCAGGGTCCCGGGTCAGGGTGGGGTCGGGGCCTGGCAGCCTTCCTGGGGCTCCAGGATGGCCGTTGGGGGCAGCTCTGCCCCCTTCAGCTGGGACACCTGTCTCGAGATGCTGCAGAGTGTCACGTGCCTGCCCACCTGGAGGGCGTTACCCAGGGCAAGCTCACCCATGTGCTCTGTCCTTCTAAGAAATGGGACTCGGAGACAAGCCCAGGAGGGCTCGGCCAGTTCCTGCTGGTTCTGGCCCCGCCGAGTTGGCTGCCTCCCATCAGAGGTCAAGCACGGGCACTCAGACCCGCCCCCCCCCCCCGAGGCTGGCAGCCCGAGGGGTGTCCTGAGGGTGGTGTGGACTCTCGCCCTGTCCCCCCAGAATGTGGAGTACAACATTTTTGAAGGCGTGGAGTGCCGAGGAGCCCCCACGGTGGTCATCAGTCAGGGCAGGGTGGTCCTGGAGGACGGGCACCTGTTCGTCACTCCGGGCGCCGGCCGCTTCATTCCTCGGAAGACGTTCCCGGACTTCGTCTACAAGAGGATCAAGGCGCGCAACAGGGTAAGGCCCGGGCCAGCGTGCAAGGCGAGAGTTCTCGGACCTTCCACGCGTCTGGGAGGTTTCTGCTCCGGATCAGCCCCGACCCCCTGCCCAGCAGCACAGGCCTGCTCCGGGGTGGGTTCCAGGGGTGGCCCTGTGAGCGTTTATTTCCCAAGTGACCCTCATCTGTGCAAAGCCCAGACAGAGGGAAATAGAGTCATGAGTGGCACCTCCCCAAGTAAACTACTGGGACACAGAAGCAGGGCCTCCAGGGTTTCTCCGTGAGCAGATGTGCACGTGATCATAAGCAGGGCGTGAGCTTTCCACAACGGCTCTTGTGAACATCGTGAGCACTTTTCCTTATCTTTACCTTCTCTTCCCATAACCCTGCGTCTGATGGTTGCACCAGGTATCGGCCTAGGTTCTACGCTGCATGCCTAAGTGATTGCTGCATGTACACACATGAACACGCATGCACACAGGCACACTCAAAGGATGTCTGAACTGAGAGTGAGCTGCCTGGGGGCCGTCCCCTGGGGAGGGGTGTGGTGTCTGCTCTAACTCAGGCTGTCAGGGCCTGGAAGCTGCTCCCTGAACCTGACCCTGATGTTGGAACAGAGTAGAGTGGTCAGGCTCTCGGCAGCAGTCCCTGCCCTCCAGCTGTGGGGTGCCTCAGCCCCCTCATGCCTGGCTCCCTTGACCTGCAGCTGGCAGAGATTCACGGCGTGCCCCGAGGCCTCTACGATGGGCCGGTCCATGAGGTGATGGTGCCCGCCAAGCCCGGGGGTGGCTCCCAGGCCCGCGCGTCCTGCCCCGGGAAGATCTCAGTGCCACCCGTGAGGAACTTGCACCAGTCGGGGTTCAGCTTGTCTGGTGAGTTGAGCCTGTGTCTGTGGGTGAAAACCATTGCCCTGCGAGGGGCTGGGGGGGTGAGGCCCACATGGAAGCCCCTTCCGGCCCCAGGACCTGCCTGGGGCTGTCACTCTGAGCCCAGGGTGAGCATGGGATGCCCAGCTTCAGTGGGACCCAAATGCCAGGTGGAGTCCGGCTACTCCAGCCCCAGCAGCCCCGCCACCCGCCGTGGTGTGTGAGGCACACGAGGAAGGGCCTTCAGGGACATGCCTCTGGTCAGGGACCTCCCAGCATGCTATGTGAAGAACCTTCCAGAAGCACTGGGCCCAGGTTCTCCCTGCAAACCAGAGCCAGACACCTCCCTTTCCAGCCCTTGGGGGGGCTCACCTGCCCCGTGAGGACTTGTCTCGTGCTCCCTCTTGGGAAGGTGATGGCAATCCCTGCTCACCTCCTCGGACATAGGGCAGGGGAAGGTCTCCTTTTAAATCTGGATCATCTTACAAGCTAGGGACAGGCCTCTCCCATCTCGGGGACAGCCTGAGACCCCCTGGAGGGACGAGGCAGGACTGGCTTCTGCTCCAGGCAGCCTTCCCAGAGGGTGGACCTTGACCTCCAGGCCCCTGCCTGCTGTAAACTCTGGCCTTGCCTCAGTGACAGGAGCACCTGCCATCTGGGGAGCGTCAGGGACCCTTGGGGGGGCGGGTTCTGCAATCCTGGCCTTTGGATGTGGCCGTGTCTGCAATCTCTCCCCACGCCCACATCCCTCCCTTTTTTGCAGGATCTCAGGCAGATGACCACATTGCCAGACGCACAGCCCAGAAGATCATGGCGCCCCCTGGTGGACGTTCCAACATCACCTCGCTGTCCTAGACCTCACTCAGTGTGCAGGGTGTGAGCAGCGGGTGCTGTCCCAGACAGGCGGCGTGGGGCTCACTCTCCCTGTTAGCTTCCCTTTGTTGAACTGACTTTGCAAGGTGCTTGGTCTCCCTTCCCCTCCCCAGAAACTCTCCTTTTGGGGGTCCCAGGCCCTGTTATGAGGGCTGAGTCTGGGGAGGTGCCACTGCCAGGGACAGCTCAGGTTGCCTGGGCCGGGTGCTAGGTGCCTCATGAAGGCAGGGCTGTGGGAACCCCCGGGGCCTCACAACACACAGGCCAAGGGTTTGGGGTTGGCCCCCTCCTCCCCGTGTGCATCACTGCCCCTCGAAGTCCCGGCTCTGCCGTCTGCCTCCCTGCAGAGCTACGGCCTGTGCCCCCGGTCCCGGCCCCCAAACCCGGCCCAGCCTGTCAAAGCACAGGAGCAGCGCCGTGAGCTGAGCCCCACGGGGGCCGCTGTGACTTCAGGGACCTGCTGGGAGCTGAGCGCGGCGTGGCTTCCCAGTCGAGTGGCTTCCCAGCCGCGTGTACACTCTTCCAAGGACCAAACCTCCGCCTCGTAGTCGCCCATCTCCAGGGGGCGTTAGGACCTTTAGCTAGGATGCCCCTGTCTTGTTACTGAGTGTGCATCCAGTAGTGCGGTAGAGCAGCAGTTTTGTGCGGTGAGGACAACTGTAGCCAGGACTCTGCATGCCACCCAGCCGGCCGCAGCACTGCCACCAGTCCGATGGGCACTGGCTCAATTAAAGGCGTCTGGGTTGGAAGCTGCCCCGACTTCTCTGGCCCCTGCACCATCCCCGCGTGAGTGGGTTTTGCGCCGCCCCCCTCGTCCCCCCACCCCGGACCCTCCTGCTGGCCCCTAGCCTGGCATTGGACCTCAGGACCACCCACAGGGACACGCTGCTCAGCCTATGCTGGGAAAGGGCAGGGCTGGGTCTGAGTGGTGGGGATGGATCCCCTTAGGAAAGGGGGTCTGGGAACCTGCTCCTGAGCCCAGGCCTCCGGGTCAGGGACAGCCAGAGGGTCAGGGGCAGACTGGAAGGACCTCCACCCACATTCTGACCAGATGGACCCAAGCCACAAGCAGAAGGTTGGGGGGCTGCATGGCTGTGAGCTGATTCCTCCAGCAAGCTGCCAGGTCTAAGTGTGATGCCCCTACCCACACACACAGCCTGGGTCCCCCCCGCTCCCCACAAGGCAAAGTAACACAGGAATCCGATCCAAACCCTGAGGCTAGGCAGCCCAGAACCTTTCAGAAGAAGGTTGAGCTGATCTCCTCACCTCAGCCTCTTTCTCATAAAAACGGTTCTAGTTTTGTGCCCCAGGCGAGGAATGCTCCCAGAAGGGGTGTCTTCCTCCCCCCTCACTGCCCCCCCCCCACCCTGCACACACACCAGCAGGATGGTCATGGTCACGGGGAAGACAAGCCAGGGAGGTCGGGCTGGCCTGGGGCAGCCCGTCTGTCCTGCGGGTCCCACCGAGTTCTGGGGCTTCCTCTGGCTGGGTCTGGCCAGGGCAGCCCCCCAGCTGCTTCCTGGGGCTCCACTGAGGCTGGCGTCCGCAGCCCCACATCCCCTGCCCCGGGAGAGACTGGGTGACATGGAGCCAGACACACGCATCCCTGCCGCCTACAAGGGGAACAGGCTTGCTGTCCCCTGGAGTCTCAGATGCTCAGGCAGACTTACATGTTTATACAAAACCCCAGACCTCCCTCCGCCTTCTTGCCTCTGACATCACAGGTCTCCACCCAGAACTTGCTCTGGGGTCTGTCCCACCCACAGGGCAGCCTGCAGTGCTGCCCACCTCTGGACCCTGGCTTCCCCGGGGGTGTGGGGCCAAGCCCCACTTGGGCACATCAGCTGTGCAGACAGCAATCCCCGTACCCCAGCGAGTGGGGCGGCAAGACCCCTCTGCCCGGCCCACCTCCACCTGGCTCAGCCGGCTCCTCGGGATGGATGGCCGTGGTCTGTCCTTCCACAGTCTGGCCCTCTGCCCAGCAGGCGCCACCCCTGCCACAGCTCTGCGGCTCCCGGGTAGACAGGCACCCACCCAGAGCAGCGGGTCGGATGCTGGGGGTTCCGTTCAGCAGGAGCCGCCCAACTCCTGGACAAATGTCCCTGAACAGCACGACCACTCGGCAGGCACAGGACGTGGAAAACACCGAAGAGGTCTGTAATTCCCAGAGGGGAAAATATGCAGAAACACCGCAGAAAGTGCTGGAACAGTTTGTATTTATAAAACATCCTCGGCCTCCCACCCACAGCCCTCCCCCTTGATGTACAAGAACCGTGGGCCCTGTGCCCCTCCCACGCTCTGGGTAGCAAGCTCAGGTGGGGCAGCCGACGGCAGGCCGGGCCTCCAGGCCTATGTACAGCCGAGAGGTGGTGAGAGACGAGCGCGCCTGTCCACCACGCGGCCCAGCCCGTGACCTGCCAGCGAGGGGTCGGGAGGCTGCCAGGACCACCATCACATAATCAGAGCCTCCAGGGGCAGCGCACTCCTGGTCCACCATTCGACCGCTCTGACAGCCACTTGTCACCATGTGCCTCCGAGAGCCGATGGCAGCTCAGTGGTCAGGCTGTTCCCTGGAAACCGACCAGGACACAGCAGAGCCACCAGCCGGGGCCTGTGCTCGGACCAGCGGGCTGCTCAGTGGGAACGTTGTTGCTTGGCCTGTCCCTCTGGTGCACTGAGTCCCCAGTGCAGCCTGAGTTACCTCCCCAGGGCCAGCGGGCTCCTAGCTGCTCCCCGCCGAGGGGCAGACGGAGCCGCACACGGGCAGGGCGGGGCTCGCGTCCTCACCATCCGCCAAGGCCTCACCGTCCACATCCCCAGCCTCGGGAGCGGGCAGGGCCTCCCTCGTGGGGTCCTGGCTCCTCCTCAGCCTGGTGGGGAAGCACAGGGAGGGGCTTTGTGCAGCCTCCCCGCAGCCCAGGGACCGCTGGTCTGAGCACTCCAGCATGTCCCTGGCTCAGGGGCCCTGGACACGCACCAGGTGTCCGGCATGTCCTGGACAGGCTGGCCCAGCAGGGAGCGGGTGGCGGCTGTGGGCGGGTCGTAGGCCTGGTGGGTTGCGGGCACTCAGCCCAGCAGCACCTCTGACTATGGGCCCAGGGCTGGGAGCAGCAGGGGTGGGGAGTCTCAGTTCACTTCCAGCCAGAAGCTGAAAGGAGGCCTGGTTTAAGTGCAAGTTCTGGGGTCAGGAATTTTGGGGCAGGCTTTTCAAAGAGCTTGGACAAGTCCCCTTCTTACCCTGGCTCTGGCCTCCAGGATGGTGGTCAGTGTCCTAAACCAGTGCCCACCTGCCATCGTGGTCACTAAAGTAGGACAGAGCATCGACTGATCCTGCTCCCCTTCCTGGCTGGAGCTCAGAGCCACCTCCTCCAGGAAGCCCTCCGTGCTTTGCCCTGCCACTCCTGCCCCTGGGCCCACAGCACTGGGCTTTATCCCCTGACTGTGGAAGTGTCGCAGCTATTCGTGGCCTGTTGTATCTCCCTGCCAGCCAGCCATGACCTTTCTGTCCCACAGTCCGACACACAGTGTTTGCTCAGTGAGTGCGTGACTGACTGAGGGGAGGCAGTGGATGTGCAGGAGCCATGCAGGCAGGAGCCACCAGCCCTTGTCTGGGAAGTCCACTGAGTGTCTCCCCAGGACATTCTGGCCATTGGCCCCAGTTTAGGACTAAAGGTTCTGGAGGAGCCCCTCCCGTATGAGCCTGAACGTTCGCCTCCCCCCTTCCTCCCAGGGCCAATGCTCAGACCCCCCAGGGGGGTGGGGCCAGGTTTCCTGGGTTCAAGACCTGGGTGGCCAAGAAAGCCTTGTCCCATTTCCCCAAACTCCTCTTTGCCCCCATCACCCCCTTCCTCCCCCCTGCCCCCCTCCCCACACTCACTCACTTTTCTCTGTTAAAAATCACAAAGTCTTGCTGGATCGCATCAAGGCAGTCCTGAAGGTAGTCATTCTCCTGTTAGTCAGAACGAGTGCTGGATGTCATCAGGTTCTCTCACAATCCCCTCCGGTGGGAACACTTCCACCTGGTCTGCTTGTCCTCCCATGGCTGCCCCGCTGGCTTTCTTCCAAAGCCTGAACTATACCCCCAGGCGGCAGAGCACTTGGGAGTTTGCACCTCCCAGGTGACTCTTAGCCAGTGACCGAAGGGTTTCCTGGACAGAATCCCAGCTCCCTGCCTCAGGTGGACGTTGACATGGAAGGCCGTGTCCGAGTGACCAGACTTGGTGGGAAACGACACCTGGCTTGGCTCCCTCCCCTCCCCCCTTCCTCCAGGCCACTTCTCACTTGGGCACCAAATCCCACCTCAGGGTCTGCCCTGAGATGGTCACCACAGGGGCTGCCCTGAGAAGCGGCCTCAGGACAGGCCTTGAGTTGGGTCCTGCACTGGCCAGATCAATGAGGAACCATCATGGGTGCCACGTGGACTGTGAGTTGGGAGGGTGCACGCAGCTGTGGCATTGGGGACAGAGCGGGAGGAGTCGTCACATGGACATGGGCCTGCTTGGCCCATGCTGGGCACTGGGGATGCATGTGCGAGAGACAGGCTCAGGTCAAGATGAGAGCAGGGGGATTTCAGAGAAGGCTGGGCTGCCAGGCTTGGGAAGTTCCTGCATCAAAGCCGAGGCCCTGATAGGGAAGTCTCTGGGCTCAGTGGATACGCCGGGGCGGGGCCGGCTCAGTGGATGCACGCGGGCACCCTGCTGCCCCTGCACAAGGGGCCCTCCCTGCTGGAGAAGAGCAGCACCCTCCCCCACGTGCCTGCAGACAGGCAGGGCTGCAACCGAGCAGAGGCCTTGAAAGAGTATTCGCCCCTCAGGATGTGCCTCTGCCTCCCCTCCGACACTACCAGTGTCCCATGGCCCGAGGGGGGGGGTGCTGAGGGGGGAGGTGCTGGGCCTGGGTGGGAGGCTGTGGGCCGGGTGAGGCACAGGCCATACGTTGGTTCAGGAGAGTCTTGCCGTGAGGGCATCCCCCCAAGACCTGGGGGCTAGTTCCCTGGCAAGAGCCCCTGGAGAGGGTTCCATTCCACTCAAAGAAGGAAGTGAGGGGCTCAGAGAGGAAGTGAGGGGCTCAGAGAGGGAAGTGAGGGGCTCAGAGAGGGAAGTGAGGGGCTCAGAGAGGAACTGAGGGGCTCAGAGAGGAAGTGAGGGGCTCAGAGAGGGAAGTGAGTGGCTCAGAGGGGAAGCCAGAGGCTCAGGGAGGAAGAGAGGGGCTCAGAGAAGCTGCAGACTTGGGCGCAGAAGAGGGGGCTGGGGACTTTGCAGGAGGTGCATCCCTGCCGGGGCCCGTGGGGAGGCTGTAACGTGAGGGGGAGGACCCCACCCCCGGCCCCGCACTCACGGACTGGGGGCTGTCCCTGCTGCTGTCCCGGGACCTGTTCTTGGCCAGCCGCTTCTTCTTCTTGTGCAGGGGCCTGGACTCCAGGATCATCTCCTCCAGCTCGAAGGTGGGGTCGCAGTGCAGGCGGCCTTTCTGTGGAGGGACAGGGCGCCGAGCTCACCCACGGGTGCCGCCAGCCACCCTGGAACCTCCGTCCGGACCGGCGCGCAGGCTTACGTTGGGCACAAAGCCCGGCTCCACCTTCTTCTTGCTCAGGTCGTCCCACAGCACGTTGGCCAGCCAGGGGGTCTCCTTCATGCCCTGGAGGCTGGAGACACGGTGCCTGGGGTCCACAGTGAGGAGCTGGAACAAGGCCCACGTCAGATGGTGCCTGGCCCGAGGCCCAGCGGGACCAGGCCCGGCACTCCCTGGGGGAGCAGCCTGCCCAGGCCAGGGCACCCGTGCAGGTCTCGCCAGAAGGCCTGAGGTTTGGAAATTCAGGGTCTCAAGGGTCAGGCGAGCATCCTGGTCAGTGCAGTGATGTGGCCAAGGGGACAGTGTGAGCGGTCTGACAGCCCCTAGAGTCCAAGGAGGCACAGGGCACATGGGGTCTGCAGGATGTTCTGCTAGGATTCACCAGCAGGTGGCAGACTCGGCCTGGCTAACTGCAGAGGACAGACAGTACCACCATCACAGCCCCATGAGGCCCTAAGGCAGTGGTTCTCAACCTTGGCTGCACATTAGAATCACCTGGGAATCTTTAAAATCCTGATTTCTGGGCCTCATCCTCCGGAAATTCCGTTTCTTTGTTACTAATGTTGTGGCCCCACTCCATAACAAAGAAACAGAATTTCCGGACCCACGAGGACCCTGTAGGCCAGGATTCGGGGCCCCACCAGTCCAGCACGTCCTCCCACCCCTGGTCCCGCTGCACCAGGGTCTTTAAATGAGGCTCTCCGAGTAGGCAGCTGTGGGGCCCCGCAGCCCAGCCCCTGCCCCGAGGGATGCACGCTGGTGGCAACACCATGGCCCCCCACGTCCCTGCAGGCTGAGGGCCCTGGGCTGCTACAGACACACTCAGGCCTTGGGAGGTGCAGGGGGTCCCGGGTCTTCTGTGCTTGCTCCCGGGGGTGGTCAGGCCACTGGCAGCAGGCACAGGGGCAGGGGAGGCCAGTCCCACACCCTCTCCCTCCAGCACACACAACACGTGACCTGCACTGGCTAACTTCTCTGCCTGCGTCTCAGTTTGGGCATCTGTGAGGCAGGGTGGTAACCAGTGTCGCGGGACCAGCTGGTGAGGGTTACACTAGCTCCCAGCCAGGCTACTATAGGACAGAGTCGGATGGACAGGGAGCCTGCCAGACAGACATGCAGGAACCAGATGCCTCCTCGAACCAAGGCTCCATGCCACACACCCCTGTGCGTCTGGCGGGCCTGTGCTCCGGGAGGGGCTCACCTTCCGCAGCAGGGCCACCATCTCCTTGGACCAGGAGGGGACGTACTGGACGCTCACAGTGCTGAACAGCTGCACCAGGGACTCCATGGCGTCGCTGGAGTGGATGTCGTAGGGCCTCTGGGCAGAGGAGGCGGCGCTGTGCTGGTGCCTCACCGTGACCCAGAGCGCCCGGCAGTACCCACCCCAGTGCAGGCACGGCCTGAGCACGGCCCCTCCTGGGAACAGCCAGGAGGAGAAGCAGGTGCCGGGGCTGGGCCGCACCTCCATTGAGGGACTGACCAGAGGAGGCGCTGACCAGGCCTGAAGGAGGCACGTCCTCCCCAGGGGCAGATGGATGGGCCCCGGAGGCCAGGCGGAGCTGCCTTCCTCGGGGTGGGGTCCCTCGGAGCCCCAACCAGGGGATGGGCAAGGACAGTTCCAGGCCCAAAGCCCAGAGGCCAGTGCACAGGCCCACCACTGCCCGGGAAGCCCCAGCGACTCCCCCCCAGCGTTCCCTCAGGCACTGTGCGCCCACCCGAGCGTGGGTGGCCTCGCTGACGCTGATGTCCCTGAACCCCTGGGGTGGGGCAGCCTCTTCCCTCCCCAGGGCACCAGGGCTACCCCTGGGGGTCCCAGCCGGCTTGGGGTCTGGGGCTGAGCCTGGGGCCGAGGAGCTCCGTACCCAACCACGCAGCAGCTCGTAGGCCATCACCCCCACCGACCACCAGTCCACCTCGAAGGAGTAGCCGGTCCCACCGTTGACGAAAGACTGGAAGATCTCCGGAGCTTTCCAGAAAGGGAAGGAGAGGCTGAGCACCCTGACCCGGGCCCCAGGGCTGGCCCCTCAAGATGGGGCCTGAAACCAGGCTGCCGCCGGAGCTGACCGGAAGCGCCCTCAGCTGTCACCCTTCCCCACAGACCACCTGGTTCAGTCCCGGTCCCACAGCCTGCGCGCGTGCACCAGGTTATCTCGTGTCATACCCATAACCCTCTTGTGCGTCACTTGTCTTCTGCACGGATCAGACACGCTGTTCTGTACATGGCGGCTCTGTGCCTGTAGGGAAGTGACCTGCCCACCGGCCACAGGCTACATGGGAGTCGGCGGCGGGCGGGTGGGTGCGGGGCCTGGCTCACCCATGTACGGCTTGGTCCCAGCCAGTGCGGTCGCCCTCTCCCCGTCCTTTATGATGGTGGCGATGTTGAAGTCGGTCAGGTGCGCATGTCCTGCGAGGAGGGAGAGACAGCACCGCTGTACAAAGGACTGGAGATGC